TTTGAACCTACTGGCTGATGTTATCCAAATTTGACAGTGTGGTAGAGGTCTCAAAGATTAGTCGTGTTGTTTAGAGGAAATAGGAGGTCGGTAAAAGTGAGTCTGCAGAGCTCTCCTAAACAGTGGAGACTGCAGCTCTTATAGCTCTCAGCGATGTAGAAATGTGCCCTCAAAAGTAATGCATCAGTTTTTATTCATTTTAGTTGATATAGATCATATAGTTGCTACCTTTTAGTCTGCGCTAGTGCATAGGTGACTTCAGTAGTTTAACTATGATTTTGTGAATATCAAGAGTACTGGGTTACTCTGAGCTAAGGATATGTTGGCCTATGCAAAGAACTGTTTTTTTTTTTTTTAATAAGAGAGAGAAAAATCATCTAGGACAGTGTTAGTACAGGTGACTCAACCCAGAATAGATTCCCAAAGTCTCAGAATTAAATCAGATTGTGTGGCCTGTTCTGATATTAATTATCAGGCAACAGTGTGCTGGGACTTTTTGAATTAATGATGTTTAGGAAAAACATCTTTAACCTGAAGAGTTATGAAGATGTTTTGTATAGAGCCACTCAGGTTTTCCTTTTTGCTGAATGTAGGTATGTTTTCTTACTTAATATTCACATTTTTAAATGATTGTTTATAAAAATGTTTTAGCAAGTGTATTTAAATTAAACAACTCCCCCTAGATATCCAAAAAATGTGGTATTCCAGATTGCACCAGTGAAAGCAGCTTAGAACAATATTCAGAATAGTTGCTTTGCTTCTCGGTGATTACAAAAGTAACAAGAAAAGTCCCTCTGCAGGGATTTGTTTGACTTTTTAATGAGTTTGATTGAATTCCCCTTTTAAGAGTTACTGGAACAAAGGAAAGTGCTCTTGGCCTGTGCAGTTCAATCAGGCATCAGGGCACAATGTACAACATGAGTTAGGGCATGACCAAGCTACAGTAGAAGGCAAGTTCTTCGTGACACAGTTTGAGTTTGTTTTTTAGTCAGATCTACCTTGAATTCTCTGGGATTTTAAGCAACCATCATGCATTCACATTATGATCCCAGAAATATGCTTGGGTAGCGAGCAAGAAGAATGCTAAAATTGGAAGTTCATAACACTATGCCTAAGGATAAATATAAGAAGGAAGGGTGCTTTTTTGAAAGGAAAAAACATTGAATATGGTTGAGTTCCTTTGCATACACCTGCTCATCAGCAAAATTTTCTTCTAGTGGGTGTTCCGTTAGATGTCTACAGTTGAACATATTTCCAAGAGATTGTTTTACAGACCCTTTTTCCATTCTTGCACTGAGCATGAGGCCATTTATGCAGTACCTGTGTCCCTAAGCACAGCCTGTTGCAGCCTTGCAGGTATCTGTTGATGGCGTTTTTCTTTCCTTCTTGGCTTTTGCCCTCACTTTCTGAAATGTGTCTCATTTTTGCTGTTTTCTTCCCAGAAGTCACCCCTCTGACATCACAGCTCAGGATGGAAACCTAATATGACTCCCAGTGGGATAAGCTGTATTGAAGTACTCTAGTGTCAGAAGAATAGAGAGCAGATTAATGAAAAGTCCATCTCTATTTAAAAAACTTACTTTTCCTTTGAAGGGCCTTATAGGTGAACTTGGAAATAGGGCAAAAGTTTTTTTTTTTCTTTATGATAGTGTTTTTTCTAAAACTTCTCTTGTTCCTTTACCTCTGGTGCTTTTCCATGTCTCACTCTCTCCTCTGGGGGGCACCTTTAGAAAGTCTTGCACAGCACTAAGTGACTTAATGAACAGATGGAACTGGAACTTACAAACTAGGAAGTTCAAAATCTGCAGGTACTGTTAACGTTTGACTGCGAGTAGTCTGATTTGCACGAGATGCCTATAGAGTTGCAAAAACTGCCCTGGTTCTTTGATTTGCAGAGGCAGGGAGTGTAAGGGGAGGAGAAGAGAAGGGAAGAAACCTGACTTAGCTGGATCTACATTGCAGTTTCTTACATGAAGCTGCTGTGTTTTGGTACAACTTCGGAGTGGCCAGTTCTTCATAACCCACATATCCCATCTAATAGAAACGATTAAATCTTTGCCTAAGTAAACTGTCTCATGCTAGACTATTATAAGACTTGCATGATAGTTCTCTTAAGCCTGTCTTGTTGCTGATACTTGTATTATTGATATTAAAATAAAGTGCCAGTATTACTTGAAGTAGTTTTTCTGATTTTTTTTTTTTCCTCCCCCTTCTCCTTACCCTTACCTGCTAGATGATGAGCATACCAAGCAGACCACAAGTAGAGGGTTAATGGGATAATGCTAATTGGAGGTATTTCCTGCTGCCTGTGCCAAGCAGATTGCCTGCCCTAGCAATTTATCCTTGGGTGAGGAGCCAAAGGATCACGAGGTACAAGTTTAATTTCATGCGATCACCCAGCTTTGTGTGGTGTATGAAATAGCAGGGAGGAAAGCCTGGGGCTGGTTTAACCACTGGTTTGTGAGCAGATTGGGCTTCGGGGCAGAGAAGTTTCCTTGTGTCAGCAAAACATTAATTGGCAGCCTTTATGTTGCTTTGTAACAAAGGGAATGGAATTTGTGGGGGCCAAATGTCTTTGGTGGGCGACTGGTGCTTGTTTCTAAATTGAGATGTGGCTCATGTTTTATACTGATGCTGTAAAAACTGCTGGCTAGAATAAGATTCTCCTGGCCCTGAATGTTCTCAGGAGGGTGTCCAAAAATTGAAATCCAGCAGTTTGCAGCTTGAACCTTTCAAAACTCTAAGAGCAATTCAGCCCACTGCTTAACTGTGTAAAAAGGTTGTTTTGAAGTGCTTGTCAGCGTGCAAGCAACCGTTTTCTAAGGGATCCTGTCCAACTATTCATGTGCACAACAAGACTGTGCTCAATTGTTTCACATTATGAATAAACTTTAGTATTTGTTTTTAATGTTTTTCTCCTTTTAATTTTCTTCACTCGCCTCAGGTTGGCAACCTGATTCTGACCATAGAACACCTTTTTCAGAATGTCTTTTTCCTCTCATTTC